AGCTAGAACATTAAGTTGTTGTTTTCACATCTGTTTTCAGATGTAAAAAGCCAAAATTCGAGGGTAAGAGATGGGTTTTCTAAATTTAGTGAAATGTGGATTTCACATGACCCCATATTGAGTGATTGATTCAAACAAGTGACAAAAATATACACGTGCTTCTCAATTCAGCTTCAATAAGAAGGGAAACTCAAGCACATGCCAGGGGCTAAAACAGAAATGTTTGAGAGCACAAGGTTAAACACAAACTGGGTGATCTCAGATACAGCTTAAATATCCAATCATACACTCCTGTGAGGTCACAAATAAAGAGGTCTCTGCTGAGCCTACACTAACATATTTATCTGTCTGGCCTGAAATGGACACATCAGAGTTGAGGGTTGCAGACTGATGGACCTAAGCAATCTCTCCGCTGTAATGATGTCCTAAAACAGGCTTTAGCTCTACTATGATTATGACCGAGGGAGAGGCCACCCACTGATGAATCTGGGTCAGCCCTTGGTTATCAAGGGTGGGGGTAGCTGCAGCACTCTTTTAGGATGGCAACAATACTACATAACGAGTGACTCATAACAGATAGAGCCACAATGCACTTTGGAATCAGGCTCAAAGACTATGGCACACCAGATGAATCTCCAATAAATTACAATGGCTGAGTGAATAAATTTAAAAAATATATAAAGAAGGAAAAATTGCTGTACTATTGCAAAATGGGAATATCTTCTACACACCTGAGAGGAGAGGTCTCTCCATTCTGCAACTCCTTGGTCGTGCACGGTGACACTTCTAACTCCTCCCAGGATGACGTTCTTTGCAATCTCCACTCCAAGACCTCTCATGCCAGAGATAAGGACATTGGAGCTCTGCATTCGCTTCATAGCCTCATGGCCCAACACATAACTGCAGAAGGGAAGGAAGCACCATCAGCACAACTATGCACTGTTTAAAAACCAGCAAAAAAATAAATAAATACAAGAGGTTGAGAGTTTTCCTGAATCACAGAAAAAATCCACAGAGATCAGACTTACAGTTGTCTGGAATACAGGCCTTCATCGATCTCAGCATCATTGCCATTCTTAGCCATGCCCTGGGGAGACACAAAGAGGGGCTGCGATCAGTTTCTGCAACTAATTTTTACCAAAAGCATATAGTGTATGGAATAGTGCTTACGTTGGCAGGTGTGTGGGACAGATCAGTTCTGACAGAGTTAGAGGAGGAGCAGTGGGATCCCGTCTTCGTCTCTGTTCCTGACAAGCGACGCTTCTTGGACAGCGGCGAGCTGGACATCTGCGCATCAACGAACACTGTTAAAGACTGTCCTCATGCTAACTTATGCCAACATTTGTGTCTATTAATGCATTATAAATGGATAATATATGGGCTATTTAAGTTTGTCAGGTTAAATGAATTAAAATAAATCAAGCAAACAGAGGCAACCCAGTGTCCACGGTTATATTTCATGAAGGTTTTCAAAACAACGTGGCTGCGAATTAATTTTAAAATAAGTGAAAAAATTCCAACTCAGTGCTACAGTTCCATTATTATAAGTGTCCAAGCTCAATGCTACCCAATCCCCTTCATGTTGAAGAGAGGATTTCTAGTCTAGGGAGCAGCTGGGCTGGCTGCAGGCCAAACACAAATCTGCTAGAAAACGAACTGAGCCTGGGAAGAGACATGAATAGCAGCATTATCAGTCCTTTTCACGCTCAGAGACAGGGCTGGCTTGTTTATGTACTCCCATTGTCCATTATACCGGTATTTAAGGACCGCCAGCATCGTTTTAACAAAAAGAGCTGAATCATTAAAACTTCACTGCGGTAAAGTGAGCAACACCTCGCGGTGGCCTGCAGGTGTGGACACAAGGACCGTACAATGCCGCTGGAGCTGTCCTCGGTACAAGGTGTAACAAAATAGGGCGTTAGCGGCAAACAATGCTTTAAAAATAATACCAAGTGACGCTGCGTTGTGATTAACTAATCCGGACGACGGCCACTTCGGGAAGTGAAACAGGCCGCAGTCTCGCGAACACATACCCATCGCGGGTTGAACATACTCGGGCACAATTTCCGCATCCAATGCAGCTAAAGTTACCTGCGCCCTGTAAATCAAACCTAACCTCCCCACATCCAAGTCTTCAACAGAAACCAGCCACATCAAAATGTACATTTTACTGTCACAAGAACAGTCGTCTAAAAAGGAAAATGAAGGCATCCGGCATGATACAGCAAAGCACTGAGATTGGTGCTGCACAACCTCATACAGAGCTGGTATTAATCATTATAAACGTTTACGAAAACACACATCACATATCGGTTAACAACACCAAGAGTAAACAGATTAAGCAGGTTGCGTGCCGCTAATCAGTTAAGTGATTTGGCAAAGTGGAGAGTCGGAACATTAATAACTTAGAGGCAAGGAAACACCAGCCTGCCAGCCTCTCCATTAGCGGCTCGGCCTAGGCCTTCATTTCCCCCACAGTGCGGAACACAACTTTACAAGCTAGCAGCTGTAGCTAGATGCAACCTGCTCGCTAAAGACAGCAACGGGTTCATTTTGACAACTAGCTACCACAGCTCCTCTGCTAATATGATTTAAGGATTCGACACTCAACAAAAACCGCCGTCCAACTTTATCGCTCAATGCTGGCATTTTCCGCGAATGAAAGACTAGCCATTACACTCGTGCTCCATTGATTTATCTATCCTTACCAATAATCCTTCTCGGTCCCTTCCCAATGCGAACCCGCTCCTCTCCTGCAGTATCTAGATGTCAGTAGGAACAATGGTTGTAAAATTCGACGAATGGTACAAAGAAGAGAAACGCGATGCGGACTAGGATGGTCTGCACTATATTGTCGAGTCACTATGTCGTTGTGCCGAGAGTCTCTCCTATGTAATTGCGTTGCTGGCTTTGCGACTGCAGACGGGAACAAAACCAAAATGGCAGATGGGGAGAAAGGGGCGGAGGAGCCGTGACGCATGGGCTGAAATATTCAACAGGAAAGGGTGGCTGTGAGCACGCTGCTCGGCCAGGCGCGCAGCTCATTGGCTGCTATACATAAGCCAGCGCGCGTTCATCCCGCCCCTGCAAGCAGAAGATGCATGCCATGTATATTACTGTACAATGAACTGCAGGGACCACCAGTCCACCAATTCATGGAAGAAACATATTGTGATTCCTCTACAAAACGTGCACAGCATGCCTGACACAAGTGCAGGAAATGAAAGATCCAAACACGGACTATTTTGTGATAATATCCAAGTGAAAACCACGTCTATCGGTGCTGACTGACATCCAACAATAACAGCATCTTTGTTTCAGTGACATGTTAGCTTGAGTCGTCTCGTTGTGGAGCTACACTGCACACAAGACCCACACTAGCAATCCCACAATGCATTATCAAAAGATATGGTTAACCAAATTGGATACAATCTCACTACAACGCCAACTGATGTATGCATTGTGGTTTGCAGATATTATCATTTCCCTGGGTCCAGCAAGACGCATCACAAGTGAAGTCTGATGGTGCCCCTATGATAACTGAGTGAGGCACATCATTAGGTCGGCTACTTGCTAGCCGTGGAGATGCTGAGCGTCTGGGCCCTCAGTCACATTGAGGTTAGGGGTGAGCATTCCTTGCAGAGGAGGAGTATTGGGGGAGGGGGTGCCTGGCAAATGACAAAGGCCCAGCACAAGAGTGGGCCGCATATTCACGGGTACACATGTCGAGGGGGTCCCCATTCTCATCTTCTTAATGCGAAATTATAAATACACCATTTTCCACCATTCTACCGGAGCTGAAACATGTGAATATCATTAATGTCACGTTAACAGGCTTCCCAACTTCGACAGCTAAGAGGAGACACAAGCCAGTGCAACGTTACTGAGATAACATCGACTGTCGTCCTTTCGCAACGTTCACCAAAATACATCCACCGAGATGAAATACTGCCAGTATGTTGTAGCAAACGTTGCGTGATGCAAGTTAGCTAATGTCTGCCTCTGAACATTGCGTCCATCTAATGTTTGTAGCCAACTAGCTCCCCTGCTACCTTAAACGTTATTCATCACACAACATTAATTAACACAGCATTCTCGTGCATACAAAATGTGCAAATTCCAATTTCGCGTGCCAGTGGCGTCTTAGCTACGGCCAGCCGAGGCGAGCAGCTGAAACGGTTCACTTAGCCGACAGCAACTAACGTTAGCGACTACCAGCAACGCAGATCAAACGACTGCGTAGTTGTTAGCCTGTGTGCAGCTAGCGTTCGAGCTATCTAGCCACCCAACGACTTTTTCCTACTTGTGCCGCTACGTTAGCTAGCTAGCTAACCGTTAGCCAACTAGCTGGGGGCTAACACTACCAAGACGAGAGCTTACACAAGTGTGCAGAACTTACCACATCCGATATTACTCGGCCTGATCTGTAGTATTAAAATCGGCTTGTATTTAAGCAAGAAACCTAAAATAACTATGTGACAATTCAACACTGCCGCTGACTGCAAACTGAAAAGTGTGTCAGGGTGGCGGGCTCTGTGTGAGTTTTTCCGCTGGACGGCTGCCTGCCCGGCTGTTCCAGAACCGTTTCCCCTCACTCTATTTCAGTTGAAAGCAAAGCAAAGCAGCAACATGTGCACGTTACAGGCACGACCATTATCGCCGTCCAGAGGGGTCACAGAAAAGCGAATCAAATTAAGTAAGTACAAATACATTTTATTATGATTCTTTAATGTTCAACCACACCACATAGAAAATAAAATGTGTCGAATTCTACCGTATTACATAGTTTAATAGGATGTTAAACGGTAAAGAATGTTTTCTTCACCCCCGCGCCTTCACAAGTATAGACTAATCCGAAATCCGCGCAAGGCAACCTGGGAATTGTATGCATGGCATGACAATATCATATAATACCTCTCTT